TAAATATTTGGCTTTTGCAAATGAAACATTTTTTATGTGCTGCTCCAACAGGCAGGGTAAGAAAAGCCTGCTGGCAGGAAACAYGCCTTGCCTTGGCTTTTTAATCTGCCTCCCATTGGGCTCTACTGTTTGTGGGTGTAGGACAARCAGCAGTGGTGTGGTGTAGATATTCTGATCAAAGCCAGGTTTATTGGTGGTTCCACTCTGCACTAACATGAAAAAGATCACAATTGCATGAGCTTATTGATGGGTAGAGCAGTAACTTTGGACATTCTGGCACATAAAAAATACCAACCTGAAATTGGGCTGATCAGCTGTGCCACACTTCTCTTGGTGGGAAGGCCTGAAATGAGCRCAGTGAGGTCATATTTCACTCTGTGTCTTTTTGTTTGTTTATTTTGCACATGGCTCCTGGTCCATCTGCAGCAGCTTGTGGCTTGACATTTGAAATTCAACCTCTAAGTGGCAGTGGCTGGGTTGATCGGATACTTAGGTCACATACGACAACTTTATTTTCTTGTTGGACGCACTTGGCTTCTAGAMTTAGAGGCTTGCTTGGCCCACATAGCTCCATTTTTATTTTTAGCATTCACCAGTAAAATTTTAGGATGGGAAGTCCAGCTTTTGTTGTGTTTGTACAGCGCTCAGCAAAGTGTCCTAATATGGCCCAGGCTAATTTTTTGGGGCTCTAATACTGAAAGGAAACAGCTAAYATAATGGTTCTTTGTATATTATTTTAAAATACCTGATTAAGAAGAAGAGGGATGTGAATTCAAGCTGTAGCAAATTTGTTTAAAATATAAATTTTTCATAAAAACTCATTTTCTTTCCTAACAGAGTGTTTTTCTAGCCCCTGCTATTTGTCCTTSTGCTGTGCCTGTCTCTCTCTCACACCAAGCAGCAGCAGGATCTGGACATGTGCACCATAACCTGACATGCCAGGCCTGACTTTTCACACTGATGTCCCTCTGAACACCACAGAGGAACTGCTCCAGAGGGGAAGGGAAAAAAAAATCTATTTGCATCCAATCGACTGAGCTCTTTAAGTGCTGAAACTAGTAGACCAAATGAGTTTATTAGATTATCATTGCGGAAGTTAATAAAGAATTAATTTCTCTTCATGTGACATCCAAAGGCAGTTATTTCAGTGGCCTGTCCATTTACACAAAGCCAAGTATTTGTCAAGTGTCAAACTCAATTCCCATGACCCAGGCCTCCTCAATAATTCTGGATTAGGAATACCCTTAAATGACATTACAAAAATTTTATTCCAAGATGCATTGAGCTCCTGGGACTACTCAGGAATTTCAGGTTAGTGAAGGTTATGGAGTCAGCAAAAGCTTGTTGGATATAAGATCTGGAATGGAAGGATACGGTGTACAATGTTTTTGTGGCAGTGAAAAGAAGCATGAAAGAAGGAAAAAGCCGATTTCCAAAAGGGRATCTCCTATTCTCTTTCTCTCCCCTGGAAATAATGCAAAGAGGGTTTATCTGAATTGCAAAGTAAGTGGCCAGTGTGATCTCCAGCACAGGAAATGCTGCAGTGCTGCTGTGGAAAGAACAGCGTGGGTGCTGGAGGGGGAGGAGGAGGGGGCAGAATTGAGCCATCAGCTGCTGCTCTGGGAATTCAGAGCTATAAAACGTCTTCATTCAGAGAAGGAGTCGAGAGTTTTGCACATTCCCGACTACCAAGTCAGACAGAACATGAAAGAAAGAGGAATCTCTTTTATGTTTTCCTGTTCTCATTAGATTTAGACTGGAGATAAACTAGACAGAGACTAGGTATAGGGATAGTCTGGATATAAGGATAATCAGAAGGTGAGGTGGAAGATATCCCAAYAGATAGATCAGATACAAGGAAGTAATTTTTTTTACAGTGAGCTTGATGGAACACTGGAACAGATTTCCCAGAAAGGCTGTGGATGCYCCARCCCTGGGAACATTCAAGGTCAGATTGAGTGAGGCTCTGGGCAGTCTGGTCTGGTGGGAGAAGTTCTATAATTSTGTGATTACCTCTGCTGACCAGATACACAGAGCATGCAGAGTGGACACACAGGCTCCTGTCATTCCTCTAAAAGGGAATTGGTGTAACATGGGACTTAGATTCCAGGTAAAGGATGATAAAAAGAAAAAAAAATCCATTTGCATCACTCGAGCCATCAGAAAAAGAGAATCCTTTTGCATACATTGACTTTATTGTATTTCAAGGTTATATGAAAATGGAAAGCTGGATGGTAATCAGTAGGAAGAGGTGCTGAGCACTGGACCCCTTCGGTTGGGATAATGCACCTTTAAAATRTAAACAGACAGTCTCAAGCATTGTTTTAATCATCAGTAATTTTTTGTYTGAAGGAGTCACTCCATCATCTCTACAAATGAATTTCCCTCCCTCCCCTCCATCTCCTCCACTTCTCCTTAYTGCCAGGACACTGTGAGTGCTTCCACCCAACCTTCTGATTAACACTGGAATAAATCTGCCWGAGAGTCGGGGTACAGGACCTTCAKCTGGAAATCTGTGCCTGCAACTTTCTGCCTGTGGGGAAAACAAGGACCTGACAGTTTATTTCTTCCAGTTCCAGAGCGGTGTCTTCTTCAGTGATGTGTAGATTGCTGTGAGCAGACCTTGGGAACAAGGGTGGGCATTTCCCATCCTTGTTCTTGGGAAATAACTGTCTAATAACTCACTGCCCAGCAAGGCTTGTGTGGCTCTGAGTGTGAGACCTRAATTCATCTCATCTACCCTTATGGTCTGAAAAATCTTGAGAGTGTAATGTTTTTTAATGCTGAGAAGTTAAGTGACTAATCCAAGCTTACAGTCTAGACTTCCTCAGCTGCCCTGGGAAAAAGGCAAGGTTCTCCACAAACTGATTCATCTGCCCTAAAATTCTTGCCCCAGACAGAAAGGATGAATCCTCCTTCAGAGGTGCCCATTTCTGATCCTGATTACAGAAGAAACTGCAGCTGCCAACTTAGACAAAGTGCCCAGCCTGGACATGTTATGTGGGGTGGGTTGATCCTGCTCAAAGGAGCTTGGCCATGTGAGTAAGACTGACCTAAATCTTCCCTGTCAAAAACTTATTGTCTCACAACGATCTTAAGTGAAACAGAAAAGGAAAGAAAACTCAGGCAAGATATTCATAAACATTTGAAACAAAAATTTAAGTGACCATGCAAATCTCATTATTAATTAGTGCTGGGTTTGCTGTATGTTTGTGATTAAAATGAAGCATGTGCTTGATTGCTTTGATGAACTAGGATGAACAACAGTGTTTCTTACCACCTTCAAAGCTGTTCATAGCTGTGTGAGTACCTGAGATCTGTAAGKTGCTTTTCTCCCAGTGGAGAAGACTTCTGGGTTGTTTAAGATTGTTTGAAAAAGTCAGTGTTAGGAGCTGCAATGCAATCTGTGATTTGAAATTATTCAGAATCTGGACAGACTGGCATTCTCAAGATTTTCTGTACAAATAAAAAAATACCTTCTTAATTTCTGTATGCAGGAATTGTGATGGCAGCAGTTTCTCCAAAATCAAATCTGGAATAGGTGCTTATTTGAATGAGGAGCCTGTGACAGCTCACCATCAGGACTAAAGAAACAGCAAACTAGAAATGGCTCCAGTCTTTGGGATCTTCACCACCTCCTCCCCTCTCTTCTGCCCAGATTAGCCCGAGTGGGTAACATGGAATGAAAACACACTCCCTGCAGTGAAAGGCACTGCAAAGCTAATTTTTCAATAAATATTTGCCATTCAAGTATCTTGGAATTGAGAAAGTGGATGGCAAAATTTGACACAAACTGTTGTGACAACGAACTGTTATGGCATTTTTGAAATCCTCTTGTTGGAGGCGTTGTGCCTTCAAAATTTAACCTGTTAAATGATGTTACACACCTCAAACTTCCCTCCCCTTGGTGAAATCCCAGGCTGTGAACCCTTGGGCAGCCCCTGAGCTCCACCTGAGCTTCGTTCTGGGTGACCTGAGCCTGGTGGGTCACTCATGGAGAGGGAGATGGGTGCCCTGGAGTGTTTCTGCCRTGCCCTCTGTCCTTGGCACAGCCCCTGGGCTGGGTGATGAAAGCTTTGCACAGCAGCTGGACTTGGGTTGAGTTTACTCAGCTCAGCTCAGTGTCCCAGAGTGCTCTGACATCACAGGGACACAAAGGCCAGGGTGAGGACACTGATATGGAAACAGGGGTTGTGCATGAGGAAAAGGGTTTGGAGCAGCAATGCTTTCCTTTCTGAGGCTGATTGCCACTGGAAATGCAGCTGTTCTGGAGGCACACATTTCCAGACAGAAACTGGGATCTGAGGTATAACCTTTTCCTTTCTCTCAGGGGAGTCTCAAGAGGTGACTTTGATTTAGAGCTTGGCCAGCCTCCTCCTATTGAAAGTCCTTAAATAATCCACATTTCTTTCTTTTCTTAGCAGAAAATCTTGCCTTTTACAGCTGACCGAGATGTGGAGGCAGCACAAATTCTGAAATTCCTCCCAGCCAGGAGCCTCCAGCATGAAAGTGTGGTTTGGAGTCTTGGGGTTGGAAATTAGCCTCAGGGTTTGCTTTGCTGCCTTTGGCTATTAAAGCCCAGACAGAGCCCTGGCAATAATTCTGGTCAGTGTTTGTGAGGGCATTCACATTGACCACTAATGGTCATAGTGATGATCAGGAGCAGGGCTCTCTTGTTGGGCTGGAGCATCTAAAACACCTATCTGGATAACCAGAGACAAAACTACTTCCTAGCACCACAGGAGCTCATTTTTTGCTTCATTTTCCCCCCTTTTCATGCTGCTTGCTGCTGGATTTGAATACTGTGTCCCTCATCATCCTCCTCCATCCTCCTGGTGGGGCAGCAGGGATGGGGTGAGCYGGGAGCTGTCAGGAGAGTGATGCCCGTGGGAGAAGGAGGGGCAGCTGCTGTTCCCAAGCCAGAGAGCTGGCTGACACAGCTGGGGACAGGTTAAACTTTAACCAGCTGGGCTCCAACCCTTCCCAGCTCCTGCAGGCGCCTGCAGTGCCAAAGCAGAGCTCGAGCAAGGAAGACACAGAGCTGCTGGATGGTGTGAGGGTGAGAACAAGRAGGAGATGCTTTTCCAAATCTTTCCCCCTCTCCTGCTGGGATGCTGCCTGGTGGGACAGRGCAGGGTTTCTGCCCCATCCTGCCTGCCTGGGTGTGCCTTGGTGCAGAGCTTCCTTGGGGAATGGCTTTGTCCCTGGGTGGTTTCTCGCCCTCCTGTCTCGGGAAGCTGCAGGACCCTGATGAATGACTCCCATATCCTGATCAAAAAGTCTCCTTAACAGTTTTAGTGTGTTTGTGTCCCTCTAGTTAAGATAAATTAGACAGGCTAATGAGACTGATTAGTCTTTAGCTGCGACCCTTGGCCTTTAGGATGTACTTTGAGCTAATAGAGAGAAAGGGGATTATGGGCTGTGATAATGTGCTTGTGTTGGCCTTTTAAAGGAAAACACATTTATTGCTACTTAGAGGAAATTGATCTAACTGTGCTGGAAGCATTTCTATGGACTGAATATGGAATTTTTATTAAGTAGGTGACTCAGGTTCAGCCAAGATTGCCAGGTTGGAAATGGGCAGGAGATATTTTAGGAAGATCCCACCTGCTGGCTGCCTCTCCAGCTGATAACAAGTTTCACTCATCCCGACTGTGATCTGCTGCTCTGCATGTCATCTGTGGAGCTCTAGGAACTTGCTCTGCAATCCCCAAGTCTCCTGGCTCAGGTCCAAGCTAACAAATCATCAAAGACAACCAGTTGTGTTTGCGTGTTTACTAAGGGTTCAACTGTTTGATTCCCTTCTCTGTCTGCAAAGCCAAATGGTTCCCCGAGTTACTGGGACCCCGAGGCAAACAATGAACCATCACACAGCCAGTTCAGAGCACAGCAGGGTGCTCTGGGGCCCAATCCTGCCCTCAGGATAAGGTTTGATCCCATTGCCTAAAGCCTCACATTTTCTGCTTTGTGCACAAYAGGAGCAGTTGTGTTCCTCAAAGTTTTCTCTGATAATATCAGCTGGATTTATAAAAAATACTTTTCTTCCTGCAAGTCCTTATGGGCTCATGGTCTACGTGGGTCTGTTCCTCTCTTCAAATATTTTTGGAGGGTTTAATTGGTTTCCAGCAAGCTTTGAACAAGTACTGTCCCATATCCCCTCTGACAAGTCCCAGGTTTGGGTTTGTGTGGTGAATTTGTAAAATCCTTTGTGCATCCTCACTGAGGAGGATGCAAAATACAGCCGCACCACCACAGTGGTGTTCTGGACAGTGGGAACAGCAGGGAGACCAAGCCAAGGTCAACCCAAACATCACATCTCAGGCAAAGCTCACAGAGGAAATGTCCTGGGAGCTTGGGCTCCCAGCGCTGACGCCCTGCTTGCTGTGCAGCTGGACCACAGCTGATTTTTGTAAATGCTGTTTGACATCACTCACATCTCATATCCCCCCTCCATTGGCTGAGGAGGCTGAGCTGGCTGTCTGGTTTCCCAAAGCTTCATCTCTCAGTCACTGGAAGGTGTTCTYTGTCCATCTGACTCTTGAGGGAACCAAAGGGGATTAGGGCTGCAACTTCCTGGGCAGTCTCTTGCCCCTCCTGATGTCCCAGAATTTTTTCTCCATTTCAGTGGAGCAGTGACTGAGCACTTCCATTCATGTAAAATCACAAAAGGGCTCTGGGCAAGTTGCAGCTTGTAACCCAAATGAACCCGCATGAAAAAAAATCTGATTTATTATATGCAGTGATATCCCCTCTGACATCACCTTGTCATTAATCAGRGTGATCCTTGACACTTTCTATATTCAAGCACGGTGCAGTAAATAGTCTTATCACTCTTTTACAGCCATCACAACCGAGGTCTGACTCACACAAGGTCAAAGTGGATCCATGGGACTGGGAGCCCTGGAGCTGCCACCTTCCCCACCCCTGCACCAGTCCCTCTTTTCTGAGGGGTGATACAGCTGATCAAAGGTTTCAGCCACAGCCCTGCAGTCCTGGGAGGGCTCCYCAGCAGCCACAAATCACTTTATAATGCTTTGTCACATGTGATAAGTCCTGTACTTTGCCACCTTTCCGTGCTTTAGGATGCTGAGGAACCAGGGAGCAGATGCAGGAGCAGATCCTCAGTCACACCACACCAGCTGAGGTTTGGATGGGAGCTCTGATCATTAATACCAGCCATCCTGGTGCTGACCAAATGAAACAGAAAGAGAAGACAACTTCCAAATGCAACTGTTTCAGTGGGGACAATACTGAAATTCCTCAAACAGGATAGAAAATCGCAGCGTCACAACCCCTGGCTGTTTTCCGTTACAGACACCCAAGGAAATGAGTCCTGCAAAGTGTTTTGTAGGTKTACATGGGAAAAAAAAGCAGGAACAATATTTAGTAAGAAATCAGTATTGCTTCAGCATTGATCCTGCCAGAATCTGTTGGAAAATGGCTGTATGACCGCTGAGCTGGGAAGGGGTGATCAGGAGTAAGATTACCTGTGAGTTTCAAGGAGCAAGCCTGTTAGCAGACAAGCCAGAGTATCTTAAGTGAAAACATTCTTGTCTTTAATTAAGGATGTCCCTTTCCCCACTTAAATGCAGACTTTTATATTTATATAAAATTTTATGCTGAGTTTCAGTAACTTTTACTAAAGGAGTGCTGTTATTTACTGAAATGCAGCCCATGCCTGGTGTCCCTACAGTTTAAATCCAAGGGGARCTTTCCAGATTCTTCCTCCCTTGTGACTTGCTCTCATGTCTAAAGGTCTCTACCACCTTTATTTTAACCTGAGATTTGTCAAGGCAAGAGCAGAACCTTCATAACATCTGCCATTCAGATGATGGCAGGCAMAGAATCGCCTCCAGCTGCCTGTAAATCAAATGGAGTTGCACCAGGGTTGATGTTGCTTGAAATTCTTGCATCAGTGCTCAAGAGCCAGAGAGGAAAGAAAAGACAAAAAAAGGGGTTGGGGGAAGAGAGGAGGAAAGATGTGCTGCTGATCTGAGTGAGAACAGGGCACTTCTCTGCCCCTCTTTGGCAGGACTGACCTAGAGGSTGTTTTGGGGTGAAATGAAGGAAAGAATACTTATTTGTCATGGAATCATAGAATGGTTGGAAAAGACCTCAAAGATCTGGTTGCACCCTCTGCCATGGGCAGGGACAGCTTCCATTAGACCAGATCACTCCAAGCCCTGTCCAGCCTGGCCTTGGACATTTCCAGGGATCCAGGGGCAGCCACAGCTTCTCTGGGCACCCTGTGCCAGGGCTCCCCACCCTCACAGGGAAGGATTTCTTCCCAATATCCCATCTAACCCTGCCCTCTGGCAGTTTGGAGACACTGCCCTTGTCCTGTCCCTCTGTGTCTTTGTCCCCTGTCCCTCTCCAGCTCTCCTGGAGCCCCTTTAGGCACTGGAAGGGACTCTGAGCTCTCCCTGGARCCTTCTCCAGGCTGAACACTCCCACTCTCTCACCCTTTCTCCGTAAGATTGGAAGTTTTTTCACTTCTTTTTCACTCAAAGCATTGACTGAAACACAATGGAAGCCCAGCAGCCCCTCCACCAGCAGAAGGGTTCCTTTAGGAGCCATTTTCAGCTGCACACATTCAAATTCACTGCACTTCATTAATGACTGGAGRAAGAAATGGCCAAATCCTCATAAATAAATAAAACTGAACGGCTGCCATGACATGCACTGATCTGGGTGGTTCTGTGCTGTTGTCTGTCTGTATACAGTCACTGGAGTGAAAAGGAGATATTTTAAGTCAGAAMCTGAGTATTTACAGCAGACAATTTGGGCAGAGGGAAGAGCAAAGCTCTCTGCTAAGGGGCTGGGGGAGAAAAAGCCATGGTCTGAAAAGATGAATATTTGAAAATGCCAACTGCTACAGCCACTGCAGGCTTATTTACCAGCACTCAGTGCCCGGCTGGAATYGATCTGTGGGGATAGGTTTGCTGAAAGGAAACAAAAACAAACAGGGCTTCTCCTTCTGGGATGACACTGCTCAGTTGTCAGGAACAASTGTTTGTGTCCTCCCTTGGCCAGGGACAGCAGGAGATGCTGTCAAACACAGAACCTGTGTCCGTAAGAAGTGAAATGCCTGTGTGGCACAAGGGCTTAGGAGGAAATGTGTGGCATTTCTGTGGGATTCCTGGTGCAGGGACTGGAAGAATGTTAATTGTGGAGAGCTGATTTATTCAGGGTATTTGGGTATTTGGGAGTCTGAGAGCAGAAAGCACTGACAAGGAAGTTTAGAAATAAACTTTCTAAATTTGCCTTGCCCTCTCATGAACCTGTTATTGGTGCCTTCAGGTACCAAGTTATGGTTTCCCCTCATCACTGCTCCTATTCCATAGATGGGGAAACTCCACAGAGAAGAGCAGTATCTCTGCAGAAGGACTGTGCACTTGTCCAAGCTTTCATCAGCACGTGGAGGCAGAACAARAGCAGCCTAAAAGTGGTTTCACTGACACACCTGGTTTTGCCCAGGTTAGTTTTATTCCTTCAAACAGTCCCAATTTTAAGGCAGAATGGTCACAAGGCAGACCTAAGGCACCTCTGTAATTGGCATTTGTTGCATTAACATGCTGGTACCAATACACTGTGTAGCTTTTCCTTTTTTTCCTGTGATAGACAGGGTTATACTGGTGTAACTGGGCTCTTACTGGGCACAGAAACAGTAAAAAAAACCCCCAGAATTAAAAATCACACTTCTGAAAGCTCATTAACAAAGAACTCCAACCTGAACCCAGGATCTGAGCCTGGAATGAAGACTGGGGTGACACAGAAAGGTCACTGTGGACAGCCCCAGCCGTGAGCTGAGCTGAGCTTTGGCTTTGAGCGAGGATGCAGCTTTGAGTAATTTTGGCATCCTAAGGCCTCAAGTAATTCCCACTTGTGTTTGCTTGTATTTTTACTGGCTGTCTTTTCCACTTCTGCCTCTCAGATTACTAGGGCTGGTGACAAGGAAATATGGGAACAGCCACCCAATCAAATTAAAAAACATTAGAAAGGTCAAGCACATACAGGTTGCTTTCACACCACGAGCAGGAATCAGATTTCCTGGTATCTCAGTAAAAGTGCCAGATAGTGTTAACCAGATAAGGAAATGGGAGCTTGTAAGTCTAAAACCAGGAGTAATTTGCCAGGGGATCTCTTTTCAAGGAAAATTGTGTGGYGGTTGGATTTCCTTGACATTTCTGYCCYGCGGGTGAAAACAGCCTGATTGTATTTTYGTGTCTTTCTCTGCTCAGTGTGGTCCTGGCTCCACAGGCATGAGAGTTTCTGCAGGCCTGCTGATGCTGGAGGAAGCTGGAAGAGGAGCAGTAAATAAATGCAATATTTTTCCAGGAAAAATGCGCTTGCAAATACCTTTATGTGTGAGGGAATCGAGGTGCTGAAGCCTCATCTCTCAGCTGTAACCCTGAGAGATGCCACCTTGATGGTCCCTTAAAACAGAACCAAATCTCCAGCAGCCTGTACACATCAAATCCATGTAGTTTTGTGCTTAGACTTGCCCTTTTTGGGAAAAGGGGTGTGATAAGGAAGTCTAGTTATTGTAAGCCCCAGATCTGATGAAAGCTTCACAGAGCAGCTTGTCCTTAGCAGACAGGCCCTCTCCACCTGAGCACCAGTTAACCAAACTTTTTAATTTGGTTTTCTGAGGTACAATGGAAAGTTTAGACATTCAGGCTGACATTTAAAGCTATGGACATCCTGGGAGAGCTCTGCTACCAGGCAGGACCAGCTTTGTCTTTTCTTGACCGGACGGACAGCGCCCACCATGCCCTGGGAAACACCCTCCTCTGCTTTTCTTGGTGATCAGTTTTAGATTTGTGAAAATCAGCACCGTGGGCTGTTTCTCAAATATCTTTCTTCCCCTTCCATCCCAGAATCAGTGGTTCAGGATTTTGAAGACCGTTCCACAGGAACAACCTTCATTTTTGAAGATGGCAACTCCTGAAATGATGAGTAAATAAACCCTGTCACCTTGACAGGCTAACATTTCCATCTCCCCCTTCATTATTTATTTATGTATGGTCCCTGAAACCTATTTCCCAAATTCTCCACCCTCACCCTCCTCCCCACACTTTGTTTTAATGAATTGAGGATTGAATTCTAGAGCACACGTTGGAGTCAGAGATGATAAAGCACCCAGACTTTTGGCAGTCCTGTAAATGCTACAGTGGCCTCCAAAGAGTTAATTCATTATGGTCCATTGTCCAGTCAACTTTATAGCTAGCAGCAGATTGGAGCCAACTTGAAATGCTGAAGTGGGAATGAAAAATGAGCAGAGCCTTGRTGTGCATTAAATATTTAATATTCTCTCAGTGGGAGGTGTCAGGAAAAGGACCATATAATAAATACTACAAGAGACAATTCCATCACTGAACTCGTCTGTTAATGACCTCATTTGCTTTGACAGAAACATTACAGATGCAGCCTCTCCGCTTCTGTGGCCCTAATAAGCAGCCACATTCCWGTTGGAGAGCAAATTCCTGCTTCTGTACCACAGAGGAGTGGGTTGGAGCTATGATTGTCTCCTCTCCCTCTCCCTGCCTCCCCCCCTCTTACAGATCTGGGGCATTTAGAAAGAATTTTCTGTGGCACGAAAGGTATTCGTGGCAGCTGTGTGACTTTGGCAGGAAAACTGACAATTTTATCAAACTACCTGGAAAACGTCAACTCAAGAGAATGCTCCCTTCCCTTAGAGGATAAAAGTGCTTCCCATCTCCTGCCTTAGAATGACCAGCTTGTAAATTGTGGGAGTTCAACAATGGTGTTTGAGGATGTGGTAGGGACCAYCTCCAGTTTAATTTCTTGGCACAAGAAGATTTCTGGTGCCAGGAATGAGAGGATGCTCAGGAGGATCTATCCAGATGCCTCTTGGTGAGTGTTTCCCACTTCAGCAGCATGGAGATCTTGGCTCCCGTTGCATTCATGGACCACACGTTGTCCAGATCACAGGATTTTGTGTGCAGTGCTGTGACCTGCAGCACTGCTGGTCCCACAGAGGGATGTTCTGCCTGAGCCTCGCTATTGCAGGGGCTTTGGCTTCAAACTAAGTGTGAGCAGCATGTTTTCTCTCTTCCACTATTTATRTTTGAAAGGTCTTCAAAAGCATCCCTGCTCTGATGGCTGGAAGCCAGCTCTACATGTATTCATATCCACTTCCTGTGGAGTTGATCTTTGCCAGGTTTCCCCTTCAACTTAATTAATTCTTTTCCCGCCTGGGCAGATAWATCCTGGGATGTTTGTATCACTTCTCAGTCTCTTTTATTTTTTTTTTAAATCCTAGTTGAGGAAATCAACCTCTTTGTGTTTGCCTAGAAAGGTTCCTGATGGCCCTCAGCATCCCAGTGAACTTTTCTTCTCATGTGCCTGCTGCAGTTTCTCTCCTTGAATAGCAGTAACTGATGGGGTTTGAGAAGGTCCATAGAATGAGGTTCATTCCAGCTTTTCTCTAGTGGGAATTTTTCCCATTCAGTCCCTGCATTACACTGGAGGGCCAGCTTAAGAGCCCAGTTGTCTCCTTCATGGACAAGTGCTGGGTTAAACATGAAGCTCTTACTCTTAGTACTTCTGGAATCCATCCAAATTTTAACACATTTCCTTTCCTTCTTACTGCAKCATAAAACCATGTTGAATTTCTCTGAACTCCTCATTTACTTACAGTGTTAACTTATTCTCTCCTCCAAACTTCCTTCTAAGTCATTGCATGACTGGAAAACTCCAGCGACTTTCCTGTATTTGTCTAGGCTCTTTTATTCCTTCTCTTAAAAAAAAAAAAAAAAAAAAAAATTACTCAATTTGCTCAGAGAACCACAGTATGGGCATTATGCATAGTAAACAAAACCTCAGATTGTAAAAATAGGGTAAAAATAGGGTAAAAAAGGGTAAAAATAGCTATTTGTCTTCTCCTCAGGTGAAGTGCATAATGGAAGGCTCAGACTCAACTTTGAACACCTGGGGTTGACAACACTCTTCCYTTCTGTTTTAAACTGAAACAGAAGTTTTCTGCAGTTTCCTGCCTCAAAGTGAAACTTGAATATAAACACATTAAAAATTGTAAAGGTGATGAGATTGTGACAGGGGCCTTAGAGACACCTCCTATTGCCAGAGGCCTGACAACCAAGCTCAAATGTCAGCATCTTTGATTAGCATCTGCTTTTTGGGATAGATCACAACCTTGACATCTTCCTCCTTCCCTAAAGCTGCCTGAACTGAGGCCAGTGATGCAGGAATCCTGTTCCCTGCTGGGATCAGGGGTGGAAGGGGCTGTTTGCTGTGCAGGGCATGGGATTGGAGGAGTTTGGGCAGTCAGAGATGAGGCTCCTTCCCCTGCTGCTGCCTACACAAACCATGGGGCTGCAGGTCAGCAGGGTGCAGGGGGAGGATGCTGAAAGCAAACCCGCCTTCTGCAGGCTCCAGGAGGAAGAGAGAGCAGCAATGAGAAAAAAATCTGGTCAGAAATGGGAAGGGAATGTGGCTGCTGCTCACTCACGTCTGGCTCTGTGTAGGCTGCCTCAGATGCCACGCATTCTGCGCATTACAACAAGGCAGTTGTTTGTAGCGCTGGATYCGTGCAACAGGGAGATAAGGTTCTGCCTTTGTATCAGAAGCAGCTGCAAAGGGGCAAGAAGGTCTTAGAACAAGAAATTAGTTCATTTGAATTCTCCCTCTGTCTCTCTTTTCCTTCTTCAAGCCAGGCAGTGACAGCACTCTCCCTCCTCTCGTTCCGTGCGGGCGGTTTTGCACTGGCGCGTGGCACCAGCAGGATTTGGTCCCTCTGGGATGGTGAGGGRTGGGTGCCTGGCTGGGGGCTTCTCCCAGATCTTGGTCCCAGGCCTGGGCTCACAGAKCCAGGGTGGTGCTGCTGRCACAGGAGAGCTCCTGGCTCTGAAGGTGTGGAGGCAGCACAAACCCAGCACTCCCACCAGCCAGAGCTGGGGCTGCTGCTGGGCTGTGGTTGAACCAGCCCATGGCTACAGCCAGACAAGAACAGGCTAGAGAAAGCTCTGGGATGGCACAAATCCTCCATCCCATGTCGAGCATGGGGAGAAGGAGACAATACTATTAGTCTGTGCCATGAGACATTTGCAGGCTGCAGGGATCCAGATGAACCTGGGCAGGCAGCCCTGAGCATGACAGAGCTACTGTCTGAGTGCTTGGCTCTGCAACCTTAATGATGTTCTTTTAATGTAGCTTTTAAAAGTGCATAATATAATATACATTGTCTGTCCTGTCTGCCTTTTATGGCTTTAAAAAATGGATCAGGAATTTGCTGTGACATACGGATCCTTTCCACCCCAGACAGACAGACACGCTGCCACCTTCACTGRAACACCCTGTAAAGTTCAGGTTTGCTCTTCAATAATCATCACCTGTGCAGTAAARAAATAACCCTTTTTGCCTTCAAAGCTTTGCACTAATCGTTTTTTAGCCTTTGTTTCTCAGGAGCTGGGCAGCTCCCTGGCTGTTTCTCTGGAGTTCATTGSTGGAAACGTGCGAGTAAATCTGGACAGGGCTGCAGAAACTGTTCAGTGTGTGACGGGGGTAAAAGGGTGAAGCTCACAGTCCAGGTGGAAGGAGGAGGAGGGCACAAGGCAGAGAGGAGATGAAATAGCCCTCAGAGCCCTGCTGGTCCTCCAGAGAGGTGTCCCCTCTTCCCCAGCCTGATCTGCCCATGAGTTACAGCCTCTGAGCTGGCGCTGCCGCCACAGAGCAGCGAGGAGGCTCCAGCCCTCCTGGCAATCTCCAGTCTCCCCAGGGCTGATTTACAGAGGTCACCTGTCACTTGTGTAAAGGTCACCAGAGGTCTGTGCTGCGGACAGTCCCCACATTCCCAGGATGTCACATAATCATTTTATTTTACGTCGCCTGGGCCCTGCCAGGGGAGGGGAGGAGGAGGGCTCAGACTGCGAGGTCAGCAGCATCTTTATGGATGGCAGAGCCAACGCGAGGTGAAAGGGATCGTTGCTTTTGCCTCCCCAATAAACCCCTTTTCTCTGCCTGAGCGGAAGCAGCGAGGAGCTGTTGGGCTAATTTATATTAATTCAACTCCATTAATGATGAGATATCATCTCTCCTCTCAGCAGGAGAACCATCAAAAGGATTTAATAGTGAGCTGCTCTTCTGACAGCCCCACGTTACAGCCTGCAGCCACTCCATGGCTGGACTGAACCTCTCCCCAGCCACCAGCTTTTCCCAGGGCCTCATTAAGCAGGGCAGTCTCACGCTGTTTGGATTATTTTTGGAGTCCTCACATGCCTCAGCACTGCTCAGGCACCAAGGAGCAGGAAAGCTCTGTGGGGAGGAAAGGACACGACACCAAAGCTGTGCCTTTCCCTTGAAATGTCCCAACATGG